CTCTCTCTCTCTCTCTCTCTCTCTCTCTCTCTCTCTCTCTCTCTCTCGGAGGTCAATATGCTAGGGAACCTTCCGCTGCTGAGACATGCACTGTGAGCCTGCAGTGAGGCAGAGTTCTGGTACATGGAAGTCAGGAAGTAGCAAGACAGAGATGGGTCCAGGACAAGACACCATCAAGAGACTGTCCTACACCTCCCAAAGTCCCATGTCCTCACAATAATGCCATCAAATTATGATTCCATTACGGGACAGGATTGATCTACTGGTCAGACCAACATCTTCACGATGCAATCACCTCTTGGTGAGAGCTGGATCCAGTAGCTGGTGAACAAGCTTTCAACACATGGGGCTTTTTAAAAGGGGGAAAAATTCATATCCAAACCACAGCAGTAGAAGAAAGGCAGGTTGCTCCAGACCACCCTAGGTGATAGTTAGGCCCTGTCCTAAAAACTAGGAGGGAGAAAAGAGAAAACAGAAGCAGACGCGGTGCAGATGAACCAAGACCCACCACGGCGTCACACTGTTTAAGCTGGTAACAGGTACATGCAAATACACCATGCTTCTCATCTTCTGTGTATTTAGTTCTTTTCCCTGTAAAAGTTTGGGAAGAATCCTAGACGGGTGTGATGGTTCACACTGATGCCAACTCGAGAGATTTAGAACCGCCCAGGAGACAAAGGTCTACGAGAGAGCTTCCGGATGAGGCTGGGGGGAGGGGGAGACAGCAGGATGGGGCAGACCATCCACAGGCTGGAGCCCCGGATTGAGGACCAGCACTTATCCCTCGCTGCTTCCTGACAGCAGGTGGGATGTGGCCAGTGCCTCAGGCTCCTGCTCCATGCCTTCCCCACCACGGTAGACTGTACCCTCAAACTGTGGGCCAAAATAACCCGCCCTTCCTTAAACTGTCTTAATTATGTATTTTGTCACAATGACAGCAATACAAAAGCTGTGGTGGCATATGTCTATAATCTCAGGACTCTCGAGGCTCAGGCAGGGAGACTGTGGCATCAAGGTGATGTTACATAGCTAGATCCTGTCTCAAAATGAAAACAACCGAAATATCCCAGAGGCTAAATAAAATGATGTAACTTTTATCACAGAAAAATTTTTGGTCAGCCACAGTAATGGGCAGGCAGGCTAATCCTCGTGTGGCTACTAGTCAGGAGTAACTTGGTCTCTAGATTCCAGTTTACCAGCTAAGAAAGAGAAAGGATTGGTAAGCTATTTCAGTTCAGTTTCTGTTATGGCATAATTATTAGATTTAAGAAACTCAAGTGTCGTTAATTTATGCTGTGACCACATGGAACACCTTCATTCCCTCATTTATTTCACAAACAAAAATGAGAGACTGCATCCCGTGTGCCGTACGGTACGGACAGAATACAGTCAGCACGACGCAGACAACACCGATACGGAGGTCAGTCTGATGGTAAGCCTGGCAGACTGGAAAGACAGTGGCCAGAGACAGCACTGTAAATGTGGAGTCAGGGAGCCCTGTACAGTGTGGGAACTGACAAGGAAGCCCACGCTAGGACGCCAGCCCGGAGATGAGGGCTCCAGTTCACAGCAGGAACAAGCGGACCTGGTGGTTAGCAGGGTTGCTTGGAGGACAGAGCCAGAAAGAAGGGAAGGGAGGCTTACTTGGTAGTTAGGAGACAGTGAGGACAGTCCAGTAGGCAGGGGGCCTGAGCCACGGCAGCATCAGTAGAGCTCTGAGACCTCATTAAAGTGCTTCCTTGGCTTTACAGGGGAGAAAGAGAACACAGTGAGTTAAAGTGTAAGGAATAATTAATGTGCAATAAAGGAAATACACTCCTCCACAGTAGAAAGCATTTCAGAAATGAGTAGCTCAGCTATACTCCTATGAATCTCTCAAGAGAGGTAGACATGTTCAGGAAAAGGACATGGCCTTAGAGTTCACAGCTTATCAAACAGATTGCAGCTGTTAGGACAGCACCTTGCACACAACAGGTGCCTATAGCGGGGACTGTGTTTTGAGCACATAAAAAGTACAGCTTGTTCTGCCTGGTCCCTGCCATACGGTACAGGTGCAACTCTTGCTGACTGGCAGATCTTAATGACATCATTTCTGATGGCTAAATACACTTCTGTATTTACTATATAACTATGTAGAACACTCTGTGTGTTGACATAATTGATCTTTTCCTTACAGGTGTCTTATATCTCTGTCTCATAGAACGGTGTAGTGATATTTCATTTATATTTTAATAAAGAAAGATTGCCTGAAGATCAGAGTAAGACAGCACATTGATCAGCCTTACAGACAAGGCAGTGGTAACACACACCTTTAATCCCAGTAGTCACATTAGTTTGCCATAGAAACCAGAGAGTATTGGTGCACACCTTTAATCTCAGCCCTAGAGAGGAATATAAGACTGGAGGAGACAATTCTCACACACAGTCTCATTCTGAGATTCCTGGGGGCAGGATAGCCATTTTGGACTGAGGTAGAGGTAAGAGCCAGTGACTGGCTGCTTTGCTTTTCTGACCTTCACGTTGAACCCACATTTCTGTCTCTGGGTTTTTATTAAACATGTTACAGAAAGGCACATCAGAAAGAAACAATCAGTCTAGATGATAAACTACATGGACATTTGCATCAAACTTTTACAATAAAACAGCATTTTTTTTCCTCGAAATTATTATTTGTTGACAAATTTCATGGTGTACAGCCGTAACCCTAGCACTTAGGAAGTAGAGACAGGAAGATCAAGGGTTCAAGGCCTCAGCTACACAGTGAGTTTGAGGCTAGCTTGGACTACAAGAGATTCTGGTAGAACACCTGACCAACAGACAAGAGGCCCCAAGTAAGTCGGAGACCCAGCACGGAAAAAGAACGGTTGAACCCAAAAATGCAGGCCCACTGCTGACCTGAAAGTCCTGCCTCTTTCAATTACTTCCTCCATGACTTCCTCTCCCTGTCTACTGACCCAGGGTCTTGCTACACAGCCTCATTAGCTTCGAACTCTTGTCCTCCCACCTCAGCCACCCAACCACTAGGATTACAGGTTTGTGACACCATGCCTGTGTTTCTTATATGATTTTCTTCCTATCAGTTGTGCTATCAAACATCAAAACTCTGAAATCTGATTATTCTATTGCATGTTCTCACATTTACAAAATATTAACACTACTGGCACTAATATTAACATTGCTGGCAATGACAACATAATTCATAATAATTCATGAACATTAATGTGTCCCAGGTAACATACTCTGCTCATCCTAGCATGTCATTTCATTTTGCAGAAGACACCGGCACCATGAAAGCATTATCTTACTCAAGTCTTATAGCCAACACCAGCCTGACTCAACAGCCAAGGCCTCTCTTGCATTATGCATTCCTGCTCCTCCCAAACAAGGGATATCTGGGCAGGCGCTTATTCCTGGTTTAAAGATAAAGAGGTCTGAGGCTTGAAAAGTTGGCAACATTTAGGGAAGAACAAGTCAAAAAGAAGCCACTGTGAGCAGCGAGCTCAGGCCCCTTGCAGCCCACCTCCAGGACCTGCTCTGCTCCCTAGGGATCAGCAGAGAGAACAGTCCCCACCAGTGTTTAAAGACAATAAACTCACAGCCAGGCGATGGTGGCAAGCATCTTTAATCCCAGCACTCGGGAGGTAGAGGCAGGCGGATCTCTGTGAGTTCGAGGCCAGTCTGGTCTACAAGAGCTAATTCCAGGACAGGCTCCAAAAGTTACAGCAAAACCCTGTCTTGAAAAACCAAAAGAAAAAAAAAAGAAAAAGAAATAAACTCACAAAGTAAAACTAGGAAAATCATACACAATGGTTCTGTCAGCATAGTCAAGGTTTTGAAGGTCTTAAGTTCCCATTGACGTCCAAGGCCCTTACAGCTCAGGAGCTAGCTGCTGTCTGTCCCTGCACAATAAAGGCACTAAACTCTTTCCTTGGAACGCAAGTCTTTCCTCCCTCTCATGGAGACGGTGTCACTGCAGCCTCCCTCGTGCTGGGCTCACAGGTGGGCACACCATGCCCCGCTAGAGACTCAGGGTCCTGAAGCCACGAGCCCCCCAGCTTTCTCATCCGCTCTCGGGTTTTCGTTCTTCTGCTACTCATTTCTTCACCCACGTTCACTGCCAGAGTTTATTCCACAGACTCTGAGGATGTCTACAGCTAAGCCTGTGCAGAGCAAACAGATTCAAGAGCTCTGATACACCGTGCACAGGGACACTGGGCTCTGAGAAAGCACAAAAACAAAACAATTAGGGTGACTGTCTCTAGAGGGGAGCATTACGAGAACCCTCCCTATAGCACACAGAAGCACAGCCCCAGTCGGCATGCGCAGAGGTCTGGATTTCCTCCCAAGACAAATATGGAATTCAGTGTGATGCCTTCCATTCAGTGAGTTCATTTTCCGACCTTATTTGACTACAAAGGTGGGAAAGGGGAGACTTTTCCTCTCCTTCCTCACGGAGGCAAGAGAGGGAAAATGTAATATTTAAACTTGAGGGCACAATTTAAAAACTTTCCATTAATGTGCACACCCAACTGAGTCAGTGTCTAAGCCCTCAGTCAGTCTCCTCAGTCCTGGCCTTCCTAGCCATGGTCCTTCCAGCTCTGCCCGTTCTTAAACTGAAGGGGTGAAACCATAGCACGCTTCAGTCTTTCTGCTAACATCCCATAATCTTTAGTAAGTACTCTACAGATGAATTAGTAAATAAAGCACAGTCAGCAAAAGTCATACCCGGAAACAGCCAATTGCCACAGTAACACCAGTTTAAAGAAAACTCTTAAGCCAAAGAGATGCTTTAAAATCCAGAACTAAGGTGATGAGGAAAATATCTGTAACCCAAAGCCAAGGAATAAGCGGACACTTTCAGATGTGCTCAGTGACTTCCGCATATAGCTATGGGTCCCTATGCTGCAGAGAGAGGTTGGGAAGACAGCTCAGTCAGTAAAGCATGAGGACATGAACCCATCCCCAGGAGGCCCACATGACCTGGGCTGGTAGCCCCAGCACACTGAGTGGGTTGAGACAGGTCATCCACGGGGCTTGCTGGCCAGCCAGCCTGGACTCCCTTAATGTGCTCCAGGCCAGTGACTCTCTCTCTCTCTCTCCTCTCTCTCTCCTCTCTCTCTCTCTCTCTCTCTCTCTCTCTCTCCTCTCTCTCCCCCCTCTCTCT